TGGAATGGCAGAACACCAGAAGGTTCTCCCCCTCTTATGCCACATATCACCATTGCCTGCCTTGGAGATTCAAAACACACGCACACATAGCAGACTCAGTGGCCCAAGTGTCCCAGGTTCACATTGCTCAACTCAGTGTTTCCCAGGTGTCTTTGGTCATGGAATCCTGACCTTCCCCCCATCGGAGGGGCAGCACCTGTTCACATCCCTACAGAACCAGGAGGCCACAAATGACATCGGGACCCTCTGCTCCGGGCTGAGTTGCCTCTGGAACACACTAGAATAGGGAAGGACACCCCGGCTTCTCTCCAGGGACTCGAGAAACTTGAAGTTCTGCACAAAAGAAATGGTCTTTAAGGAGCTCTGACAACATGCCGAGGCATGACCTTGGGCTAGTCACTTCCCCTTTCCCTGAAGGGATACATGGTGCCTCTTACCTGCCCGCTGGTGCCTCAGCCAGAAGTGGCACCCGGGGCAGCTGAAACAGTTATTCTTTGTCTCTGAAGCTAGACCCACCCCCCATGTCAGTGAGCAAGCAGGTGGTAACCCAGGAAAGCCAGGTCCAGTAGGAAGCAGAGAACATCCTGGATGTGGAAGAGCTCTGGGCTGAGTTTCTGACATCTACACCTGCTAGGCCATCAACCTACAGGGAAAAGGGTTGGCCACCAGTTGTGTCCATGAGACCTGAGACCCTCATTCTCCCCTAGCGTATCTTCCTGGCTGGGGCATGACACAGTAGGGGAAACAGGCAGGTAATCATAGGACCCTCCAGATTTCACAGCCAGGAGGGGCTTCCAGAACAGAAAACACCTTCTCATCCACTATTTGCACTCTCCCACCCCTCACCCTGTTCTCTCCCACCCCTCACTCTATCTACCCTCCCTCCCCGCACCCTATTCTCTCTCCACCCCTCTGTCTCCTCTCCCACCCCTGTCCACTCTATCCATCACTCTTTTTACTCTGTCACCTCTCACTTCAACCTTAGCACCACTCTAAACCTTGAGGTATTTCAGTAGCCATTTTCCAATTTACCCTCATTCTAACTTCAGGCCCCACTTTGATAGCTGGGGTAAAACACAGACCTGTGAATCTCTGGTACCTGAACAAAAAGCCCGGGACCACTGGTGGGTCACACAGGCCCCAAATCAAGCAATTTTTTTTTTTTTTGAGTTGAAGTCTCACTCTGTCACCCAGGTTGAAGTGCAGTGGCATGCTCACTGCCACCGCAGCCTTGACCTGCTGGGCTCCGGCGATCCTTCCGCCTCAGCCTTCCAAGTAGTGGAACTTCAGGCTTGTACCACCACACCCAGCTAGTTTTTTAATTTATTGTAGAGATGAGGTCTCACCAAGTTGCCCAGGCTGGTCTGAAACCCCTTGGCTCAGGCAATCCTCTTGCCTCTGCCTCCCAAAATGCTGGGATTATAATAGGTATGATCCACCGTGTCCGCCCTCTTTTTCTTTCTCTCTCTCTTTCCTTCCTGCCTTCCTTTTTAGGAGACAGGATCTCGCTTTCTCACTCAGGCTGGAGTGCAGTAGTACAATCATAGTTTACAGTAGTCTTTTAACTCCTGGGCTCAAGCCATCCTTCCACTTCAGCCTCCCAAGAAGCTGGAACCATATGCATGTACACCACCAAACCTGACAGCATTTTCTTACTACTTTTTTGAGACAGGGCTTTGCTCTGTTGCCCAGGCTAGAGTGCAGTGACAAGATCACAGCTTATCATAGTCTGAAACTCCTGGGCTCAAGCAATGCTCCTGCCTCAGCCTCCCAAGTAGCTGGGACTATAGGTCCATGCCACTATGGCCAGCTAAGTTTTTAATTTTCTATAAAGATGGGGTCTTGCTATGTTTCCCAGGCTTATCTTGAACTCTGGGGTTCAAGCAATTCTCCTGCCTTGGCCTCCCAGAGTGCTGGAATTTCTGGCATGAGTCAATGTGCCTGGCCTTTTTCTTACTTTTTTTTTTTGAGTTGGAGTCTCACTCTGTTGCCCAGACTGGAGTGCAGTGGCCACTCCCGTCCACTGCAGCCTCGGCATGCTGGGCTCCGGCGATCCTTCTGCCTCAGCCTTCCGAGTAGCCACAATTACAGGCATGTGCCACCAAACCCAGCTGATTTTTTTATTTATTGTAGAGATGAGATCTCGCTGCCCAGGTGGGTCTCAAACCCGTGGGCTCAGGCAATTCACTCACATCAGCCACCGAAAGGCACGGGATTACAGGCTGTGCCACCGAGCCCAGCGTGCACACTTTTCAAAGGGAATGTTTTTATGATTTTTCTGAGTTTTTGAGTTTCTTGTAGATCCTGGATGTTATGCCTTTTTACAAATATAGGTGGAGAATCATTTTTCCCTTCCTGTTGGCTGTATCCCTGCTCTTCTGATGGTTTCTTTTGTTTTTCAGAAGTATATTAATTTGATGAGATCCCACTTGTCCAACTTACTTTATAAGGCATGGGTATTTAGGTCTGTGAAGAGGAATAAGTTTCCGGTTTCAGTTTCCCTAATGGAGTCTACTGCGTTTTCTAAGATTATTATAATTTGGTGTTTTACGTTTAGGTCTTTGATCCATTTAGAGTTAATGTGTATGGTGATAGATAGGGGTGCTGTTTCAATCATGTGCATGTTGTCAGCCTGTTCCCAGCACCATTTACTGAATATGTTGTTCATTACCCAGTGGGTGTTGGAGGTTTTTTCAAAGATGAGTTGGTTGGGAATTTGAGGATTCATTCTCTGA